CCCACCTGTGCACCAGGCCTCTATCCTATACAGTAAAAAGGTAATATGCAAACTGACCCTAACAGCAGAAAGACTGGGAATGACTGGTCACTATGACACACACTGACCACCAGGGGGCAGATGCTCAATGCAGGAGCTGCCCTCTGGTGGTCAGTGCACTCCCACAGGGAGAGCTCTGCTCAGCCACAAGCCAAGCTGACAGCTGCCAGCACAGCGGTGGTAGCAGGAGCCTCTCCCGCCTCCTCAGCAGTGCTAAGGCTGTCTGACTGCAGCTTAGGTATGCTCCCTGCTGGCAAATGGACATCCCTCAAGGGCTGCTAGGCTGCCAGAGGGATGTCTGATTGCCATCTTAGGCCCAATCCCCCGGGGAGCATTCCTAAGCCAGCAAGTGGTCAGCCCCCAGGGGTCCCAGACTGTGAGAGGGCACAGGCCGGGCTGAGGGACCTCCTACCCCTGAGTGCACAAATTTTTGTGCACCAGGCCTCTAGTATTTAATAAAAACAAAAATTAAAAAATAGAATGTTATATTCTATTGGTCAAAGAACTTGAATAGACATTTCTCCAAAGAAGATATACAAGCCGTAACCGGTTTGGCTCAATGGATAGAGCGTCGGCCTGCGGACTGAAAGGTCCCAGGTTTGATTCCAGTCAAGGGCATGTACCTTGGTAGTGGGCACATCCCCAGTGGGAGGTGTGCAGGAGGCAGCTGATCGATGTCTCTCTCTCATCGAAGTTTCTAGCTCTCTATCTCTCTCCCTTCCTCTCTGTAAAAAATCAATAAAATATATTTTTTTTAAAAAGAAGATATACAAAAATACAAAAGCACATGAAAAAATACTCAAGAGCATGAGACAGTTTACTAATGAAAACCTTAAACCACTACTTCATACCTGCTAGGATGGTGATAATCAAAAAATGGGAAGGTTATAGCAAATGTTGATAAAACTGGGATCCTCGAACATTGTTGGTGACAATGTAAAATGGTTCAGTCACACTGGTAAACAGATTAGGACTTCCTCAAAAAAATTCACCATGTAATTCCCATATGACCCAACATTTCCACTTCTAGGTCTATACTCAAAAGAATTGAAAACATGTTGACACAGATTGTAAATGAATAGTCACAGAGGTATCCTATCTAATAAAAGACAAAAAGGGTAATTAACCGTACCTCTGCTACACTTCCCATTGGCTAATCAGGGCGATATGCAAATTAACCGCCAACAAAGATGGCGGTTAATTTGCATAGGCAAGCTCCAAGCAGTGGAGCGAAGCCAAGCAGCCCCAAAGCTGCCGAGCAGCGAGGCCTCACAGCCCCGGGATCAGCGGAGCCGCGAGGCCTCCCAGCCCCTGGAGCAGCGTGACAGGGTGCGGACCTGCTCTGTGGGTGACAGGGGGCGGCACCCCAACCCCCTGATCGGCCCTGCTCTGTGAGTGACAGGGGGCGGCACCCCAACCCCGTGATTGGCCCTGCTCTGTGCATGTCAGGGGGCAGCGCCCCAACTCCCTGATCGGCCCTGCTCTGTGTGTGACAGGTTGGGGCACCCCAACCCCCCAATGGGCCCTGCTCTGCGTGACAGAGGGGAGCTCCCCAACACCCTGATCAGCCCTGCTCTGTGTGTGAGAGTGGGGAGTGCCCCAACCCCCCAATGGGCCCTACTCTGTGCGTCACAGGGGGCAGCGCCCCAACCCTCCGATTGGTCGTGCTCTGTGAGTGACAGGACGCGGCGCCCCAACTCCCCCCCCCATCGGCCCTGCTTTGTGCGTGACAGGGGGCAGCACCCCAAACTCCTGATCGGCGGGCTCTGTGTGCGACAGGGGGTGGTGCCCCAACCCCCTGATCTGCCCTGCTCTGTGCGTGACAGGGGGCAGCGCCCGGCTGAGGGAGGCGGGAACAACAAAGCGGGCCAGGCGGCTGAGGGAGGCCCGAACAATCAAGCTGGGCCGGGAGGCTGAGGGAGGCGGGAACGATCAAGCTGGCCGGGCGGCTGAGGGAGGCGGGAACAACAAAGCGGGCCAGGCGGCTGAGGGAGGCCCGAACAATCAAGCTGGGCCGGGAGGCTGAGGGAGGCGGGAACGATCAACCTGGGCCTGGGCTGAGGGAGGCGGAACGAAACAAGCCGGACTCCCCCTGTGGGGTCCCAGACTGCGAGAGGGCACAGGCCGGCCTGAGGGACCCCCCGCTTCCCCGAGTGCACAAATTGTTGTGCACCGGGCCTCTAGTTATTCATAATAGTCAACAACTGGCAACCCAAATGTCCATTAGGTTATAAATGGATAAACAAAATGCAGTAGAGCCAAACAATGGAATATTTTTCACTCATAAGAAGGATGAAGTACTGATACAAACTGCAACATGGATAAGTCTCAAAACCATTATGCTAAGTAAACAAGCCAGACCCAAAAGGACAAATATGTTACCATTGCTATGAAATGTCTACAGACTAGCTCAATCCATAGAGACAGAGTGGATTTTGGGGGTGACCAGGGGTTAGAAAATGGGGAGGAACCACATTAATGGGTGTGGATTTTCATTTGGAGTTATGAAAATATTTTGGAACCAAAGAGAGGTGGTAGCCACCAAATTGTCCACTGTAAAAGGGTAAAATTTATATTCCATAAATTTCACCTCAATTTTTCTAAAAAGGCGAGGCAGTAAGGGAGTTCAGTGTTTGGTGAGGTAAAGTTGAGGACAGAAGGGCTTTCTGTGGGGAGTGAGGATGGTTATGAAGGGAGATTGGGTGAGAGAGGCCGGTGG